ATATATTATATAAAACCTGTTGATGTATATGTTTCTTCACATTTTGACGTTATCAAACATATGTTGTCAAAGCCACTACTACACAGTCGAATTGCCAAATAGGCCTTAGCCCTTACTGAGTATTCTTTATCCTTCATGCCTTTAAAATCAATGAAGGGTCAAGTAGTCTCAGAATTTATTATAGACCATGCAATGGTCAAAAACCCTCAACATTATGTTGAGTTAAAACCCTGGAGATTGTTCTTCTACGGTTTTACCCACCAAAAGGGAAGCGGGGTTGGGATTCTAATAATTTCTCCTGATGGAATTCCAACAAAACTTAAGTATAGAATTGAAGGTCCCATTTGTTCAAATAATGAGGCAGAGTATGAGGCCTTGATTGCAAGACTTAAAGCCTTGTTGGAATTGGGGGCAACAAGAGTCAAATTCTAAAGGAGACTCTGAGCTAGTAATAAAGCAATTGACAAAGGAGTACAAATGCATAAAAGAAAATTTGATTATGTATTTCGTTATTGCAAATAGATTACTTAAAAAATTTGAATATGCAGATATAAAGCATGTCCCTAGAGTAAACAATCAAGAGGAAAATGACTTAGCACAAATAGCATCAGGGTATAAAGTGACTAAAGAAAAACTAGCAGAATTGGTCAAAGTTTGGGGAAAGGCAATGGCTACAAGGTTGTCTCCAACATATTTGGAAAGTACCTAGTTACGTTACGCTAACAAAGACATATTTGAAGTATTGGTCACTAATACTCTAGTAGATACAGATTGGAGAAATCCAATTTTTAATTATATCAGAGATTATTCGATGGACACGGAAAGAAAGACTAAGTATAGGGCTTTGTCTTATATCTCAATGGGGAATGAATTTTTCAAGAAAACCCCTGAAGGAGTTCTGCTAAAATGCTTAGGAGAAAGTGGGGCATATTTGGAATTATCTAGTGTTCATTGTGGAGCATGTGGAGCCCATCAAGCAGGTCATAAGATGAAGTGGTTACTATTTCGATATGGAATGTATTGGCCTTCTATTCTTAAAGACTGTATAGATTTTTCTAAGTGATGTCAAGAATGCCAAAAGCATGCCAGTATCTAACATGCTCCAGCAAGTGAACTTCACGCAATCATTAAACCCTGGCCTTTCAGAGGTTGGGCACTGGATCTAATTGGAGAAATTCGACCTGCTTCATCTAAAAACCACAGGTACATTTTAGTAGGTATAGATTACTTTACAAAATGGGTTGAGGCCATACCTTTGGTAAATGTGGATCAGGAGATTGTTATCGAATTCATTCAGAAATAAATAGTCTATAGATTTGGCATCCCAGAGAGTATCACAACAAAGCAAGGAGCAGTCTTCACTGGTCAAAATATGCAGGAGTTCGCAAAGGAAACATGTTTTAAACTATTGACATCCACACCTTACTATGCTCAAGCAAATGACCAAGTCGAAGCATCCAATAAGGTGATAATTGGGTTGGTAAAGAAACATGTAAGGAAGAAGCCTAAAAATTGGCATAAAACTCTAGACCAAGCATTATGGGCTTGTCGAACGTCCTCTAAAGAAGCAACTAATGCCACACCTTTCCAACTTACATTTGGATTTGATGCAGTACTACCAGTCGAAATCTACTTGCAATCAGTTAGAATTCAAAGGCAAGAGGAAATTCCTTCTGACCTTTATTGGGAAATGAAGGAAAATGAAAGGTTGCTAGTCGAAATCTGGTAATTAAAAAAATGTCCATTTTTGCATTGATTCGAAATAGACATTTATTAGGGGTAATTTGTTAGCTGAAGATTTCGATATTTGATAAAAATAACATGAAACTTGACCTTATAAGATGAAATTTGACCTTATTGATATCATGTTTGAGAATATTATTTTTGTGATTCGATATATCGAAGGGCAAATTAAAGTGAAAGGATTATTTCATGATGTGTGAATACTTCGATAGTCATGTTGGTTGAATTCAAAGTTGAATTCAAAAGCTTCGAGCGGAAAGTTTAAATTTCAAACTAATGCGTTTTTGCCAGGAAGACGCGTGGAAGCGCCCGAATATATGCATGTAAAATATGCCGAACGTGGCGTAATCTCATAGAAAGACCGTTAGGGTCGAATTAGTATAAATAGGAGTCTTAGATGTTAGGATTCAGGGTGTTCACATTGTATACAAATCACTCATACTCAAAGTGCCAGAGCGAGAGAAAAGAGTTTATTGATAATGTATGTGTAAGAACACCATCATTTTATTCAAAGTTGTTTTTTTATTACAAAGTTATTTTAATTTCTTTCTTTATTCCTTTCCGTTTCTAGTCAAACACTTTTAACAGATTTTGTCGAACTTCCTTTATAAGCATTTTTTCTTTATATTTTATAAACATTTAGATCATTTCCTTTAAAGTTATATTTAGGATTCATAGCTAAATTTTAAACATCTTGAAGTAACCATAATCACGTAGAAAGACCTTATTATTATGTCAAATTCTAAGTCAAATTGCAACACTAAGACACATGTCCTAGGATCAATCTAGTCGATCTTGTATGTTACCAAAACATAGAGTTTGGAAGACTAGCGGTTGTTTGTCAGAAATCACTGGTAAACACCAACTAGAAAGATTTTGCTCCAGAATGGTGATGTGGCAGAGGCGTCACCGACATGTCTTGCAATTCCCAATTTACCTCAACCATGGTAATATGCGACAAACTGATCAATATTTAGCTTAGTACAAATCGACTAGTACCCCCGAAATACACGTGTCTCATCCAAGATATTTGGTTGACCCACGAACACAATGGGCACAACCCTCATTTCCCCAACAACAAACCCAACACACATCAACCTCCCACCAACCTTCCCGACGAAATAGAACCACAAATACCCAACCACAATCACCGATTACACCCACATGCCCCACAACCAACCACAATCATCACCTCAATACCAATACCCCATGTGCCCCACACTCAACCACAATTTCAATCACAATATTAATACACCTGCATGCCCCACACATAATTCTAGTCTTCGACATATCCCAATATGGGCCCCTCAACATCTAACCTTAGCCCTGATCTGGGATTTTCCGAAGATTATGAACCAACCGATCCAACTTACCATCAACCACCACATCACCAAAGCATCCAACATTCCCAATGCCAAACATCCCATGATTCATTTCCTTTCTACCCCCTTTACTCAGACGACCAGTGCTATAGACCAACCATAGAACCCCATCCACCACCAACACGACCAAACTTTAAGGGTATGGGTAACCGACTGCACCAAAGTGGATCTTCTAGATATGGAGATCTGGCTGATTTCATGGATCCGAAACACATTGACTTCGCTTGGACATCGACTCTGCCACAACAGGAAACGCGACGAAACCCACCACGGGAAAGGCGAGGACGGGGATGCAGAACCGCGGGGTCGTTACTGGGTTCCGGGGGACCATTGATTATTTTGTATTTTTTCATGTAATCGTTTTGTGTAATCATATTGTGTAAATAAAAATTCGAATTTTCGTGATCCTATATCGTTTACATAATGTCCCGCATTTAAAATAAAAAATGCGAAAAATCATCTCCCCATTGCACTAAGACGCCATCTCACTTGGCTTAGACCACAAATTTAACACATAGGCGCCAAGTGAGATGGCGCCTCCCCTTTAGAATAAAGTGTAGGTGCCAATTGAGATGGCTCCTCCTTTGTGGGGTTTTCTGAAACATGGTTATTTACGTAATTTTCTCCAAAATATGGTTATTTGTGAATTTTTTTTTCAATATCTGATTATTACAAAAAAAAAATCCCATCACCAGAATAAAAAAAGTTTAAAAAGAATGAGAAAAATTATGTAAATAGGCTTGAATTTAAATAATTGTGAAGAAATATAAAAAAATTGTTGGTCCATTTAAAAAGTTAACATACTAATAAAGATTATCTAATTTGAATTTTTATCTACTCGATTCAAAATGCCGAGTAAAGTTCCTTAATATAAAATGTTTTAAAAATTAAAAATAATTGTATTATTTTAATTAAATATATTAAAATTAAATAATATCTTATAAATATTAAATATATATTATTCAATTTTTTGTAAAAGATAGAGAAGTTGTTACCATTAAAGACATAAGAAATTAAATATTATATATATTTTTAGGAGAAAAACAAAAATACCTAAAATAACTAGATCAACAATGCAAGAAAGATAAAATAAAAAATAAAAAACATTGAGAAAACACAAAATACCCCGAAAAGAATATAAGAATAGCAATGTTGTTGACACATTGATACATAGTGTAAGATTAGACACTTTTGTACGAGAAACACAATTTATCTACCTAAAATTTTAAGGTGATAGATGAGTGAATTCTCTCATTTATATATGTTTAAATCCCTATATTTTTATCTTATATGAGACTATTTTGTCAGTTATTCATATTTGCGTTATTATTCACACTTGTATTATTATTCTAACAAATATCCTAAAAATTTTAAATAAAAAATCTAAATCTTTTGAAAAAATCAAACATCTTCCAATCCACCTAAAACACTTATGTACCAAATGACAAATGTAATGTCATGTGTAACAAATTACAAACAAATTGATTGTGAACTCCACATTACCTTAACAGAAGAAAAAAAAAATTATAACAATAATTGACGATGAAAATTCTTTTGTAAGAAATTCTTGAGACGAGATCAAATTATTTTGTTCCATTATTGAGAGTATAAACTTTGTGTTTGCGATAGCATACACAAGAGACAGAAAAAAACAACATTTAAATTTTCTACTTGCTATAAGTTCTACACTTTTTACAGTTACAAAATAAAGAGTCCTTGAACTAGAATCACTTCAAATTCCCGTTTGAAATCAAATACCAACAAATAAAAACAAATTTTATAAAGAAAAAAAAAGATATTATGTTTGTAATTAATTAATATGAAAACATTAAACATGCACACAAAATTCATTTATTTTTCTTCCATGAGGCTTTTCTAGTTCCAAATAGTAGAGAATGGTTTATCCTTTGTGTAACTCCTTAGCTTAAACAACACATAAACTATCATTCCAATTAAAAATCCAAGTGATGCACTAGATCCAACTAAAGAAACCGCAGTGCAAACAAGTGCCACAAAGAAATCTTGTTTGCTATTCATGTCTCTAGCACACAATGCAAGTTCAATTCCAGCAAACAAAAGCAAAACACCTAAGATCCCAACTGGAAAATGCTTCATAATATGTGCCAAAGAAGTTCCTAACACAAGTCCTAATACCAATTTTCCAACACCAAGAAGTACTACACATCCTCCACTCCTTCCACCAAATTTATATTGTCCTGCAAGTCCACCAGCACCATGACAAGTTGGTACCACACCAAACCAACAACCAACCAAATTCATTAGTCCAACTGTCACCGAAATTGAAGTAACTGAAAATTCCCTTTCCGGGAAAAGATCGGTCGACAACTTACAAACGGCTATGACAGAGTTCAAAATTGATAATGGAAGTTGAGGAATTGCACCTTTAATAAAACCTTTCTTCCATGATTGTTTACTGAATTTCACTAATTCTATTGAACTAGGTCCAAATGTAACTTGGCGCGCAACTTGGTGTTTTCTTATAAAAACCAACACAATCCCCAACACAAAGACTATAAATGCAGAAGGGAGTGAAAAAACAATCTTTCTCAATTTATCAATCCTATTGTTTCTTCTACCTTCATCTAAATTATCACCATTGTCTCGAGCACCGCAACTTCCACGATTCTGTTCACCAGCTCCATTCACAATCACAATGAAAAAAGCACAAACGATAGCTAGAATCAACCCATCTAACCCAAACCATGGTCTTTCACCTAAAGCTTTAGACTTGGGAAGATCTTGCACATTCCTCACGTATTTAACAGCGGTTAAAGCAAATGACAAACCTTGTGCTAGTTGAATTCCTCTTACAACAGGTAAAGGAATGAACTTGTACACAAGCTTCATCATTCCTGTGATGCCAAGAATGAACAACACAGCTCCCGTCATGATTCCTGCAGCCATGATTTCTGGTACGCCGAATTCTTTGTCTGATAAGGCCACAGCGGCAATCGCCTTCATAGGCTGGACAGGCATAGGAACCCCATAAATGATACCAGTGATGATGTTGTAGACACCTGGAAGATACCACGCACATATATGAGCTTAAATACATATACATATATGTATCTAGAGTGTTGCAGTTTAAAACCATGTATTGATCATGTGGACGATTTTCATTTTTCATTCATTAAAAGAAAGAAAAAAACATAGAACCTACCGTTGAAAATCAATGAGGTGCCAAGGTTGAGGTCTCTAGCTAGAGTGAGAGCCAACACTATAGGTATGTAGGTGCCAAGGTCACCCATGGCACCATTAAGTTCAGCCCATTTTGAATGGAAAACCAAGTTTGTTTTCAATTTTTGCACTGCATCTTTGGCGCTGAAAAAACTAGTTTGACCTGTTGGAGAAATTTCAGGAGCTTCAGAATCCAATGTTTGAATTGAAGGAGGGTTTTGGTTTTCCATATAGAGTGTGGTGTTTTAATCTTAATTTTTAGAATGTGTAGTGGCTAAAAAGAGGTTTAACTAATGGAACAAAATAATATGATTTGGAAAATGTGAACTAATGCTTGTTTATTTATAGGAATTCTAAAGTCAGTCTTGTCAGCAAAATAATGACTTTTAAAATTAAAATATAAAATACAAATAAAAATTGTCTTTTCAAAATTTTTAATTAGTTTTCATTTTTCTATTTAATGATTGAATCATCATTTTCTTATTTATTTCTCTCATTATTTTAACAAGTTTTACTATGTCTCTTTTGGTTATGACATAATCTATAATATTTGTCAATTTATGAAGTGTTCTCTTATTCTCTAATGTGAATGTAAAACCATCACTTTTGTTGCTTTGTTATTTATTAACTTAAAGGTTAATTTTTTTACCGAAAATTTTAACTTTAGTTCTTATTTAACTTTTATTATTCTTTTAATATTTAATAAAGAATATATATTCATTTAATCAGATTATATAAAAATGGAACGCAAACAGACATCAATGTTATCTCTTTTTAGATGGTGTTTTGGACTGACATAAAGAGCTAATAGAATCAGTTAAAAGAAAGTAATGTTTCATCTAAACCGCTTGCAACGCATGCATACTACTCTAGGAAAGGAGCATAGGAGATCCATGGAAAAATACATCTGGACTCTCCATGTTTCACGTCTTAAAGATAGCAGGGGGTTACACTCGTCCCTCTATATAAATGGAAACTGTGTCATTCTAAAGTACACAATTTCAAATTCAAACTTCATTCATTCATCTTACTCACATACTAACTTGAGCGTTAGAGGGATAACCTTATAGGCCAGTCCTTTCACCGCATTAGAAGTTTGATTCCACCGCCTGGACATTGCAACCGTCGTTCTCTGAACAATTTTTGTTCCATAACAGAACATTGACACCGTATGTGGGAATCAACTTCTGATTCATGCATTTTCCACAATTTCACATTCTCACTTCGTTTCATCAATTTGAAGCTCTCTCAACCAATCATATCAGAGTTCATGAAATCAAAATTCAGATCTATTGTCATTGATATATTCTGGTAGAAAATATGAAATTTTGGCACACACAATATAAATGTCAAGACTGATGTCTCAACACACATGCACAAAGTCACAATAGATATTATGATATCTGGTGATAGCAGATATACTTGCTAAAAACAGAAAGATTATGTACGGAGATAAAATACAGAAACGTAAAGAACACAAGTATCAATTCAAAGCTAAACAATCCCAGTTTAAACTTCTCACTTAATCCCCACTGTTGTACCCCAAAATTTTCCCTCTCTTTTATCAAGACATTTCCCACAAGATCTTCAAATAGCTCAAGTTTGCACAAGTGTTGACTGGGTCAAACCATCTCATAAACACCGATGCCCCAAATTAGGGTTTTGATTTTCACAATGACAAATGGACTTCTAATGTCTCAAGTTACTTTCATGAATCATTATAGACCTCCAAAAATACTCATGTCAAGTTTCAAGTCTTGAATCATAATTTTGCTCAGTCAATTGATCAGATGATTAAAAAACAACTGTATTGGTTAAAAAGTCAACTGTGACCAACTTACAGTCAAACTTCAATATTTTTGACCAATATCAACAATTTGAAGTTATTTTCATCAATTGATCAAGTTTAGATCACAATTCCTCAAGTAAAAGTGTATAAATCATCAGAAGGGCAAAATGGTCAAAATTAGGTTTTTGACTAGAATGACTGATTTTTTTTACTTTTGAGATAATAAATGACTTATTAGTTTGAAACATGATCTCAAGGATTCAAGTAAATCATTTTGACCTAATTGCATGACTCAATTCACCTCTTAAGATCAAACAATTGATAGATGAAATTTGGTCAACTGGTGAAAAGTTAAGGCAAAATACTCTTTTTAGTCCTTTAAGTTTACCCCAAGGTCCATTTTGGTCCTTTATCTAAAAAAAGTGTCAAACTGGTCCTATAATTCTTTCAAAAGGACCATAGGAGTCCTTTCCGTCCATTTTGGTCCTTTTTGGTTCAACCCATCCTTCTTTATTTCAATTTGTAACTCCATTATCTTATGTTTCAGCCCATCCTCCCTTTCCTTTAGATGATGTATCTCCATCTTTGCTCCATCGAGCTCATTTTGCAGCTTCTCCAATGAACCAAAAAGGACCAAAATGGACGGAAAGGACTCCTATGGTCCTTTTGAAAGAATTATAGGACCAGTTTGACACTTTTTTTAGATAAATGACCAAAATGGACCTTGGGGTAAACTTAAAGGACTAAAAAGGGTATTTTGCCAAAAGTTAACTGATACACTAAAAGTCAAACTTTGACTTTTTGATCAAAATTGAGTTTCAAAAGTCAAGATTCATCAAGACATTAAAAAATATGAAGTTTGATCATCAAGAAATTAAGAAAGTCAAAAGTCAATTTGAAAAGTCAAACTTTTCAAGACTTCTAAATTTTTCTAAGTGTTTTTGTACATGATAATTTCACTACTTCATGCCAATTTTTCACCAAGATCCAAGATGATTCAAAGAAAACTTTAAACATGAAAGTTTTATATCTTTATGATATATACAAATTTTTATTATAGGACTCATATCCAAAAAAGGCTTAGATTTTGAGTTATAGGCACATGAAGTTATGCACTTTTTCTTAAACACTTAGTGAAATTTTGACTTAGTTTAGGCAGATTTTTTATCCCAACTTCTTGGCCATTTTTCATATAGCTTCAATTTGATTTAGAAAAAATGGAAAACATTAAAGTTGTAGAGGATGTTTCAATCTTTTCAAAATGTGCAAGAACTTGAAGAGATCATTTTTGAGCTAAAGAGAACCGAAGAGAGGAAGTTGGGCATCCATTCTTGAATTACAAGGCATTTGTGTGATGAACACTTGAGAAAAACCCTAGCCTATGCTGCATAACTTCACTTTGCAGGCTTCTAACTTGTGTTTCACTCCATAATTAATTGATTACACAATGTATATAGTCATTGTCCAAGCATTTGAACCATTATCCAAGTTGCATTTCCATTAATGGCACAAAGTAACATTGTCATTCTAGTAAAGTGGCTTTAATCACAAAGTCAACTTGTCTTGAGCATTGCACTTGTTCTTTCTGCACAAGCATCCTCTACACAATCAGATAAGCATGTTTAAAGTTCCTAACCATTTTAGATAGCCTTGTACTTTGCCTTGGAACAATGCTTATCAAGCTTGCTTTGAAAACAAGTTAAATGGCCATAACATGTGAACTTTTGCTTCTGGCCACCTCAAGCCTCCAAACCTTATCCTATAAATTAAGGCACTATTATGCAACTTAGGACACGAAATTAGAAGCCTTGAAACTCCCTCAAACCAGAAATTTCTCTAAAAACACCATAACTTGTCATTTCTGCCCAAAAATTTCTATCTCATAAACCACTCGTGTGTTTCTTATCCAAATAAATCCTAAAGCTTCCTTACATCAAATATAACTCATCCCCATCCCAGTTTCACAACTGTAACACCTCCATTACCATTGTCCAAACCTTATTTTTCACCTCTGCAACTTGAGTTCTCCAAAACATTCTAGGCACTCTTAGCTCAAGCTAAGCATTGAATTAGCTTCCTAGAGGTTCAAGGAAGCTAACCAGATCATTGCATCACCTTGAAGTGAGATCTAACTCAAAACACAATATCCATCTGCAAGGTGAGTTTTCTAGAATTCTAGCTCTTCATACAAGCATCATTTGGCTTCCATTTTAAAATATAAAATGTAGACATCATAGCCTTGAAACTAACCATGTCCTTAGAAATCATTTATGTTGCCTGAGTAGCGAGAATTTTGAGCCTGAACTTTCTGAAAAAATTAGGTTAAATTTGGTACCATTTAAAATTCGTGCTCATCTTTGATCCATTGCTTAAGTTATTTACATATTTGAAACCGTGGTGAAATTTATAACAAGTTTGATGTTCATACTTTTGAGAATGATTCAGAGTTGAGAAAGTTACAGAGTTATGGCTAGCGAGAGGAAGAAGGTGAAGTACAATCATGGACTTGTTTTATCTTATATTTATCACAACTTATTTCTATACCGGATGAAACAGCCATCACAATGGCAAGAAGCGCGCGCACAAGGCATTACTATGGAAGGTCATGGGTTCGAGCCCCAGCGAGACCTTTTGGCATTTTTTACAATTTTTCCTTGACTCTTTTTACAGATAAGCGCGCCTGGGCTCTTCAGCAATGGGTCTGATCATTTTTCTTCTTCATACCCCCCTGAATACTTCACAACACCAAGCCCACTTCCTTTTTTCATTTATTTTCTGATTACATAAAAAAATATGTTTGGGCCCAAAACAAAAACCTTTTTACTATCAAACCTCCCTCACTACTTTTCAAACCCCTGCCCCTTTAATTCATATTTTCATTTTATTTTATTTTCTTTCTTTTATTTCATTTTTTATTATTATTATTTATAATTAAATATATCAATATATATATATATATATATATATATATATATATATATATATATATATATATATATATATATATATATATATATATATATATATATATATATATATATATATATATATATATATATATATATATATATATATATATATATATATATATATATTTTACTAAATATTTTCATATTTTTATTTCATTTCTTTTAAACAAAAACCCTAAAAGATATATATATTCTCTCTTAAATTAATTAAAATACATTTATATTTAGGTTTTGTTTTAATTTATTCTTTTAAATTAAGTTAACTTAGAATTTAGGAATTTAATTAATTAACTTCTTTCTTTAGTTAATTAGGTTAATTTTAAAATCTTTTCATAACAAAACCATAAAAAATAATTTTCTTCTCTTTCACATTATCTCTATATTCTTGTATATTTTACATTCTATTATTCAATATGCTTGTAATAGTAATTAGGTTTTAATTTCTTTCATCCCCATTTGTAATTTGTATTCC